TTAACAGTTTTGAGTAGTTTTCTCAGGATTTATCTGTTCCAGGGGTTCCTAACTGCCTAAATATCATCTACAAACGTGGTTAGGCCGTTATTAACTGAAGATATGGCCAAATCCATCATTCTTATCCGAAAACCCCCCAACCGAAGCCTATAAATACAGGCCTAGGGGCTCAATTCATAGAGATGGATTATTATCAAGAGGGTGAGGTGCTGTCGGATTGAGGAGTCAAAGGAATTACAGCGAAGGCAAGTCAGATCCTGACGAACTTCAGCATAAAGAGGAAGGCTTTTGAAGGATCTGAACCCGTATCCCCTCGTCCGTCCGTTCCTCGATATTAGGCTTGGTCTTAATCTCGAGAAGAGCTACTGATTTCGCTTGGTCGATTTCAGAGCTTCAAACGAATACTTCCTTGGTGAAGTAGGAGCTCCGTTAATTTTTCGACAACCGGATCTGATCCGTAGGCGGTCCACGGATATCGATGTCCCCAGCACAGGTAAAGATCCCGCACAAGCAGAAGACCGATAAACGATCTCTCTGTGTTTGTTTGATAAAGTTGTAAACTTTTTATTTTTATTGTGTAAGGAGATCTTATAAAAAGATCAACTTTTTTATTTTATTTGAGTTTATTGTAACAACCAAAGTTATAATGAGTTCAATAACAATGAAAACAGCAACTTTTGAACCAAACATAAATGTAATGCCTTTTATTTTTATTTTTTTTGCTTGCAAGTGTGATGTTTTCTTTTGTGATGTTAAATGTAATCTTTTGTTGAATTTATGAAAGTAATATTTTAATTTGATTTAGCATTTAATTTTTATATTTTTATTTTATTCATAAAATATATTATTATAATTAATTATATGTATTATATAATTATATAATTATATAATTTGCTAAATATTTAAAATTTTAAAAAATATTAAAAGATAAGAATAATAAAAGGAATATTCTTTTTGGTGTAACATTTGGTGTAATGGGTTGGAGATGGAATAGTGATTTAGTGTAAAAACTACATCAACTTGGTGTAAAAACTACACCATTTTGAGTTTTATGGTTGAAAATGCTCTTAGGAAAGTGGTCAAAGATATACTTGGAGAATCTAAAGATTATAGATTAGACGGTAATGAGAGTTGGTCGTAGAATGAGAGTGTGCAAAAGATTATTAGAAAGACAAAAACTTTATATAAAGAGTGGCAAAAGTGTAGAAGTAGGAAAAACTTAGAAAAATATAAACTAGTAAAGAAGAAAGCAAAAAGATCAGTTAGTGAGAAAAAATACAAAGCTTATGAAATTTTTTATAAGAAGTTAGAATCTAAGGAGGGAGAGAAAGATATATATAAGCTTGCTAAGATTAGAGAAAGGAAGAGTAGAGATTTAGGTAATATTAGGTGTATTAAAAGTGAGGATCAAAGAGTTCTAGTGACCGACAGGGAAATAAAAAAGAGGTAGAGGGGTTACTTTTATCAATTGTTTAATGATAACCAAACAAGTGAGCAAAATAGATATTATGATCATATAGTGAATGATAGGAACTATATATATTATCGTAAAATTAGGATTAGCAAGGTTATAAAGATGCTCTAAAGAAAATAAAAAATAGATAAGCCGTAGGACCGGATGATATCCCTATTGAAGTTTGGAAATGTCTTGGAGATATAGGCTTAGAATGGTTAATTAAACTATTTAATAAGATTATCAAGATGAAGAGAATGTCGGATGAGTGGAGGATTAGTATTTTGATACCGATATATAAGAATAAAGAAGATATACAAAGTTGCTCAAATTATTAAGGTATAAAACTCATGAGTCATACTATGAAATCTTGGGAGATGGTAATTGAGCAAAGGTTAAGAAAAGAGACATGTATATCAAAAATCAATTTGGTTTTATGCTCGGGAGATCAACTATAGAACCTATATATATTTTGAGATGATTGATGGAGAGATATAGAGAGAAGAGAAAGAATCTCTATATGGTTTTTATCGATTTAGAAAAAGTTTATGATAGAGTAGAGATATTGAGAGAAGAGAAAGGATATCTATATGGTTTTTATCGATTTAGAAAAGTTTATGACAGAGTGTCTATAGAGGTAATGTGGTGGGTGTTAGAAAAGAAATATGTATCTAATATATATATATATATATATATATATATTGATATAATTAAAGATATGCATGATAGAGTAACAACTAATAAAGGAGAGACTAAACCATTTCCTATTACCATAGGTTTACATCAAGGGTCAGCTTTAAGTCCTTATATCTTTGCATTAGTTATGGACCAACTTACTGAGCATATTTAGGATGAAATCTCATGGTGTATATTATTTACTGATGATATAATATTAGTTAGTGAAACTAAAAGAGGTATTATTTTTAAAGTAGAAAGATGAAGACAAACTCTTAAGTCTAAATGTTTTAGAATTAGTAGAACAAAAATGGAATATATGGAATGCATTTTTAGTAAAAGTACGAAAGAAAGAGAGCCTATGGTACATATTGATGGCCATGAAATACCTAAAACTAATCATTTTCGCTATTTAGGATCCGTCATTAGGCATGATGGTGAGATAGAGGATGATGTTGTGCATCGAATTAAATCGGGATGGTTGAAATGGAGGAGTGCTTCGGGAGTCTTATGTGATCGTAGAATACTAATAAAACTAAAGTAAAAATTCTATAGGACGGTTATAAGACCAATTATACTTTATGGATCAGAATGTTGGACAATTAAAAAATAACATGTTCAAAAAATGAGTGTAACAGAAATAAGAATGTTGTGATGGTCTTATGGGTATACATTAAAAGACATGATAAGAAATGAGTGCATCTGTAGTAAATTAGAGGTTGCGTCTATTGAGGATAAAATGAGAGAGAATAGATTATAATGGTTTGGTCATATATAAAGGAGACTCCTTAGTGCACTGGTTAGGATAAATGATAATATTAGAGTTAATGGGACTAGGAGATCTAGAGGTCGACCTAGAATGACTTGGTCAGAAGCAATTAAGAAGAATATGATTAAGACTAACGTAACGGAGGAAGACCCGTAACAGAATAGAATGGAAAAATAGGATTCATGTAACTGACCCCAAACATTTGGGATAAATGTTTGGTTGTTGTTGTTGGTACAAGACAAAACAGAATTTCATGCTAACACATGAAGTTCAATAATATTTGCATTTTATTAACAAGGCAGATGATTATAGTCTTCAAATGACCCATATCACAGATGGACCCATTGAAGTTCTATTTGTTCTAAGAGACTCTTAGGGTGAATATTTTTTGACTCTTAAAAGAGTTTAAAACTCTTTACGGCCCACAAAATTGCTAACTTTTTTTGACTCTTTTAAATAGTCGAAAAAGTTCAGCAAGAGATCTATTGGACAAATAGTGGAGATGTTCTATCTTCCCAAATAAAATTGTAGGGAATCTATCCGCAATTAGACAATACGAAAGGGGTCTATTCTAAAATAGCCTGATTATTTTACCTAACGTTATATTAATTAGTTCATTAAAAGGAACATATAATGTAGGTTTGAGAAGGGGACGCATAGTTGATAGTTTTCATTGGGCTAAATACCCATATTGGTATTTTAATTCAACCTTATTTGCCAAGAAGGTATTTTAAATAAAAAAATCGGCGTTAAGGCATTTTAATTGATTAAAATTACCAATTAGGTCCTTTTTCTCGTCGGCGACCACTTTTCCGGTGAGAACTCGTCACGTGCGTGACACGTGATGACTTAATCTGTATAAATATCCATATTGGTATTTTAATTCAACTCAATTTGGCAAGAAGGTATTTTAAATAAAAAATTGGCGTTAAGGCATTTTAATTGATTAAAATTACCAATTAGGTCTTTTTGCTCGTCGGCGACCACTTTTCCGGCGAGAACTGGTCACGTGCATTTTAATTCAACCGGTTTTCTGACGTGGTAGTGGCAGGAAGAATAAGAGTCGATGCATTTTAAAATCCCCCATTTCTAAAATTGGTAAAAAAAATTAGCGAAAAATTAGTGGAGAAATTACCGTATAAATAGAACCTCTTTCTCTTGCATCGATCCATGGCCGCGCCGGCGGCAATCTAGTCTGCAGTGATCTTCGTCTTCTCACTCTCTTCTCTCCGAATTCCCATGGCGTTTTCTTCTAGAAGTTCCTGGAATCGGGGGTTTTTGGCTGCTTCTGTTAGCGGTAAAGGTAAGATAATTGAGTTGGATCTGAGATCTGGAGTGAATGCGTGGAAGTTTGATCTTTGTTTTGAAATTTTTAGGGTTCAGGTTGGTTCGTTTTGGACTTAAATTGTGATTAAGCCACATCAGCAGCTAAAACCGAGCCACATCAGCAAACCGAGCCACATCATCAGCTAAAACACAGATTAAGTCATCACGTGCCACACACGTGACGAGTTCTCACCGGAAAAGTGGTCGCCGACGAGAAAAAAACCTAATTGATAATTTTAATCAATTAAAATGTTTTAATGCCGATTTTTTATTTAAAATACTTTCTTGGCAAATGGGGTTGAATTAAAATACCAATATGGGTATTTATACAAATTAAGTCATCACGTGCCACGCACGTGACGAGTTCTCGTCGGAAAAGTGGTCGCCGACGAGAAAAATGACCTAATTGGTAATTTTAATCAATTAAAATGCCTTAACGCTGATTTTTTTATTTAAAATACCTTCTTGACAAATGGGGTTGAATTAAAATACCAATATGGGTATTTAGCCGTTTTCATTGCCTTTCAAATTTGCACATGAATTTCGTTCTTTTTTTGCATTGGTTGGGTGGGGTGGGGTGGGGGGGGATTACATATAGTCTCTCACCAGTGGTCACGTGCGTGGCCCCAAAAACAATTTAGGGAACAAAACTGCCCGGAATAAAAATCGAGAAAGACATAAATCAATCAAAAAATTCCCAACGGCTACTTTTTTAAACGGCTACTCTTCCAACGGTCACTTTTTTCCAAAACAAAAACACGCCAAAGTCCCCTCCATCTCCTTCTCTCATTCTCCTCTCGCTTCTCCATCTCCTCTCTCTAATTCTCCTTCAGATCAGAGAGCCCAAAACTCAGTTTAATTAGTTCCTAAGTCATATAACAAAATGTTGCATCAAGATCTTTGGAGCATCAATGCTCCAACTTCAATCAGGCCATCAAAATCTGCCCCTTGCTCTCCAATCAAACCAATGCCAATGCCTCGATCATCGTCTGAATCCTTTCATGTGGCCTTCAAAGTCCCCGTTGGTGACACCCCCTATGTCAGGGCAAAAAGAGTTCAGGTGATCTTTTTTTTCTGGGGTTTTCCAAGGTCTTTTTCTTTATTTTTTTTCCCCTGTAGCAATTTTGTGACGTTGGTCATCTGTCAGTTGGTTGATAAGGATCCAGAGAGAGCAATTGCTCTGTTTTGGGCCGCAATCAATGCTGGAGACAGAGTTGACAGTGCTCTCAAAGACATGGCCATTGTTATGAAGCAACAGAATAGAGCTGAAGAAGCCATTGAAGCTATCAAATCCTTGAGACATCGATGTACCGATCAAGCACAAGAATCATTAGACAACATTCTTCTAGATCTCTACAAGGTTTCTTTCTTCTTCTTCTTCTTTTCTCTTCGTCAAACTCAATGTTTTTGTTAGAATTTAAAGTTATAATCCATAGCCCTCACTGTAACTTCCGAGTTTTAAATGTGGCAAAAGGTTTATTCGACTAGATCAAAACTCCGAAGTTATGGTGAGAGTGAACTATAATTTTGTAGTCTAATACTTTTTTTAAAAAACCCGCTTTAAATTCATGACCGGTACAATTTGATCCCGATGCTACGCCAAATGTGCTTTCCACCGCATCAAAGTACAGGTTACTTGTTGTATTTAATATTCTAACAGTTTCTAATGAATAATGTGAAACAGAGATGTGGGAGGTTGGATGATCAAATAGGACTATTGAGGCGTAAATTGCAGTTGATTCAACAAGGCCTTGCTTTCAATGGGAAGAGAACCAAGACCGCTAGGTCTCAAGGGAAAAAGTTTCAAGTCTCGGTGGAACAAGAAGCAACAAGATTACTTGTAAAACTCTAAACGTTTTTTAATTTTTCCATAACCCATTAGTCCCCATTTCTGATTTTTTTTTAACAAACATTTTGATTCCAGGGGAATTTGGGCTGGGCTTTAATGCAAAAAGAGAATTACAAAGAAGCAGAGGAGGCTTACAGAAGAGCTCTCATCATAGGACCAGACAACAACAAGATGTGCAATCTGGGAATTTGTTTGATGAAACAAGGGAGAATCAATGAAGCCAAAGAGACCCTCAGACAAGTGAAATCAGCTAGCATCAATGGGCTCAGAGGCACAGATTCTCACCTCAAAGCTTACGAGAGAGCCCAAGAGATGCTCAGAGATCTTGAGTCCAAGGTTTTAGGAAACAATCAGAGCTGGCTCTTTGATGCATTCATTGGTTCTTCATTGATATGGAAGCCTCAGCCTTGTACTGAATTCCCTATGAATCGAAACGCTGAAAATGATAAGTTTGCTAATGAGAACGTTGTTGGTATCGGTAGGAGCAATTCTCTCAACATTGATGCACCTCCATTCTATTCTTCAAGAATGCTGAAGGATTGTAATGATCCAATGGGGAACTTGAAGAGGACAAGATCGGGGAATATTTTTGCAGAGAAATGGAGCAAACAAGGGGAGATTGTTGTGAACAAGAGGAGATCTCTTTCATTTGAGGAAGGAAGGGAGAAATGGCCCGAGTTGCCCGATACTAACGCTTTCGACGAGGCAATAATGGCAGCGGTCTTGGCGCCGGTTCTTGAAGATGAGAGCTTCGATAGGAGGAGGGATCAGAGTTTGGTAATGGATGGAGGGCAAATAGGGAAGAGGCTGAGGGTTTTTGAGGACATCACTCTTGCAATGAATAACTCTCCAAAGGCAAAGGACATTATTACTCTTGCAATGAACAATTCTCCGAAGGCAAAGATCTTGGTCTGATGATGAATGGTGGTGGTTGTTATTATGACTTTTTTCAGTTTGAGTTGTTGGGTTAGTAGTAATAGAAGTAGGAGGAGAAGAAGAAGAAGGAAGGAGATGAACTTTTTCTCCTTGTTTTCTTTTATTTATTTTAAGTGATTATTCTTAAGGGAGGAGAGAGGGGTACGATGGTATTTTGTTTTGTTAATTTAATTTGTAGAGGGGAGAGGGATGATGGTATTTGTAGAGGGGAGAGAGCTCTCTGACTGAACAAGCCACAGAGTATGGGATTTGTTAACACAACTGCTAATAATGTTATTAAATTAATTCACTTTCTCATATTTCACTTGGTGTTTTCCCCCTAATTTATGTTCTTCTATTGATTTGAATTTTAATTTGACGTGTCTTAAATAACCTGATGGACATTCGTAGACCACCATTCTAGCCAATAAGTTGAATTGAATAATTTACTGCTATTTTATGAGATAATGTGATAAAGTCTGATTTGACCTCCTTCGAGTACACTTGTATTCTAAGATGAAAACATTGTTTGTTAATCACAAGTCTCCCAAACATGATTTTTTGCAACATGATTACAAACAAGTCACAGGGAAGCAGAAAACAAATTTTAAAAGCCTGGAACGAAAATATACGAAAGCCTGGAACGAAAAGATACGAAGTTGCAAGATCAATACCACAAAAATATGAAGTTGCAAAAAAATTATCACAAAAAGTTGACAATGTTTTGTAAAATTAACATACCCACATATATTTCAGCATGTAGAGAAATTAGAGTAATTATGCTTATTAGGAACGCGATCATAGATTGTACAGAATAAAATTGAGTATATCAACAACCAACAACTTTACACTGAGATCTCTTCTCTACATGAGTACATTTTGAAAATATCACATAATGCACAACATACAACAAGACAAAAATAAATAAATAAAAAAAGAAAGAGAGAAAGAACCCCCTCCATTCCTTTGTCTCCCCCTCCATTCCTTTGTCTGGAAGTAGTAGCCCATCACTCATCTTGCTATACTGCTTATCATTTTGTATGACATAATAATTCATCCTTATAGTTTGCTGTACTTCATGATTTTAAGAAGGCCTCCACTGCATTTCAATCTGAATTCGACCATTTCTTGAATCGATAAGGTGATACTTCTCGTTGATCCGTTTGTTGTTAATGACGTCTGCTAGGCTGATAATGACATAACCCAAAATTTCCTGAATAGGGGAAATGATGAGATTAGACATTGAGTAACTGCCATATATAATAAGTCTAATTCTATGTTGAATGTCAACTTGGGATGAACCTTCTCAAGCAAAATATTTATACAAAAAAGTGATTTCTGGCATTCACCTAGCTTCTATTTTCAGATCAAATCTATATAGCTGAAATTGCAACTGAGATTAAAATTTGTATATTACGCAGATGAATACATTACCAACACCCACAATGGAAAATTTCAATCCTTTTCTTTGATGTGGACTGCATAATACATCACTAGAAAACAAATATATCGCATAGAACAAGTGTTTATGTTGAGGTGACATAGTATATATTACTATTAAGTTACAAAAATGTGAATTCTTTTCTCCCAAATTGTCATTTGTCATTTGTATTCTTCCTGTTAAGTTGCAGTTATTAAATCCTCTTTTTTTTTTGTTTCAATTACAGTTATTAACTCCTGAATAACTGTGTTTCATACATTCTTAACAGAGAAAACAATTCAAATGGTTTTTATCATATTAGACCCCCAAATCTTTTTAATTGTATAATAGAGCCCCAAATCCTTTTTATTTGTGTATCCCTCAAAATCTTTTTTATATTGCTATTAGACTGAAAAAGACTTTTTTAATTATATAATAGACCCCCAAAATCTTTTTTATTATATTAATGCCCTTATCAGTTAGGTTTTACTCCGCTATTTCACCATTTGCCATTCCCAATCTCTCTCTCGTCCCTCGTCTTTCCCAGTCTATGTTTTCTTTTAATTTTCCCAACCCCAACCTATCTTTTCTTCATCAAGGACATTACAGTCCAAAGAAAAAATTATACTAATGATAACAATAAGTTTCTAAATGACTACAGTTAAATCTAATGAGGGTGTTCTTTAAAACAACTTAAGAGATTTGGGTGTCTAATTTAGATATTTGAAGAGTTGGAGGTCTAATACAAAAACACAAAAAAAAATTTGGGGTTCTAATATACGATTCAATCTAATGGGCATGATACAACACATGTTTGTGTGTGCATGTGTGCACACACAGCATGTGTATGATAAGTATCTGAAAGTAACTACTTGCATATATCTATGATTTGCAGCAACTACCATCATGTGAGATGCTAACTGGGCTCACTTGGGTAGAGTATTCATACTAAAAAAAAGGTTTGGGGTAAGGTCGTAACATCCCCCCATGTAATCCTTCATTATGAGGGTATTCCTGCAATAGGAATATAGGACTAACAATATTTTCAGGTCTGGTCAGGGACCTGTGGTGAAGTCCCAGTTAAAAAAAAATTGCTATTAGCTATGCAACCAAATTTTTGTTGAACCCAAAAAAATAATCATAGAATGGTCAAAGCTTCAGACTATAGATTTAAAAACAGCTAAAATGTCAGAAAACTCCGCTCAACTTTTGGATGATTATCAGATAGCTGATAACCCCTCATGAGCATGAGCCTTGGCGCAACGGTAAGGTTGTTTCCTTGTGACCTGAAGGTCATGGGTTCAAATCCTGAAAACAGCCTCTTCGCATGCACGGGGGGAGGGGGGTATGGCTGCGTACATTTGACCGTCCCTAGAACCCACAATGGTGGGAGCCTCATGCACTGGGCTACCCTTTTGATAACCCCTCATGAGTTTCAAAATATCAGTAAATTTCCCTTATGCTTAGGAGCTATCAGAAACCCCCTTTAACTTTTAAGATTAAAATAAAAGCTAAACAGCATTAATGACAAATTCACGTGGGTGGATAAAATTATGCAAAGAGATATTTTTACCCGTGAAAATTGTGGTTCACACTTTTAGTCCTAAACTTTAAGGGGGATTTCTGATAACCCTTAAACTTAAAGAGGACTTTCTAATAACCCTAAAACTTAAAGGGGGTTTTCTAATATTTTGAAAGCTATT